GATTGGTACCAGTTTCTTAACATCCAACTTTCATTTATCCTCTTTTCTTCGATTTTGTAAAACAAGATAATACTTTCGTTTTTGTGCCATATGACTTCCGCTCCCTTTCAATTGAACATTGGGTAACTGTTATTAACTAACATTATTGACAGAACTCCTGAGACGTGAGCCTGGTCAGCTGTTGCACTTTTGTCAGCTGTTATTATTATATATCTTTTTGTCATCTCTTCTTTGGACTTCTTTATTTATACAATCCCCATTCAGTAGCAATGTTTTAAAGCACTGGCAGCATTTCCAGTACCCTTCTGAAATAGCGTGGGTAATATCCTGCTTTGTCTATCTGTTGTCACTAATTCTTGCTGCACGACTAGCCCAGTTATTTCCGTGGCATACGATGACTTGATAATATTTCTCATACCAGCACCGAAACCTCTGTACTTCACTGGAAATGTAGTTTGTATGACAACTGATCTTTATTATTTTTATAACTCTGTAAAAATTCTAGGGGAGCGAATAAGCCAGGAAATACAAACAGACGAAGGTGTACCAAGCGCAGCGCCAATCTATATTCGCGCAATGAATATCCTTCCAAACGAGGTTGATCTGGTCTGGCAAGCGCCAGCATGTTTACAAACGAACGGTGAAATCACGGAATATGAGTACGAAGCTACACCGGTGGATAAATATGGCGCTGGTGCGGGTGCTGTGAAGAAAGTTGTACGTGGTACCAAGACCAAAATTACCAACCTTTCACCGTATACTAAGTACGCAGTACGGATGCGCGCATATACAAGAAAAGGACCCGGACCATGGTCAGAACCAGTGCAGTTCCAGACTGCTGCTGCACCTGAGGTAACCGAAAGAGCGAATAATTAAAACTTGTCTCCCCTCTTTCTCCCACATTCGACTCATCGTCGAAGACGTGGCTTCGGAGAGAATCTGTTTCTCGTTTTATCCTTTGAAAAGATTATCAGCTCAGTGACTTCCAAAAGAAAGCTTTGCGAGATTTTGAATGTTCTAATATATTCTCGATTTGTATTAAATATCTCCATCACGTTCCGAATTTTACCACTCCTAATTATGAAGAGGTACCTTATCAATCAGAAATTTGTAATTCTTATTCATCGAAAGCTTTCAGTAGCGGAAAAGTTTAGGATATCACTAGTGCAAAGTATTTTCTTGAAATCAAGCAATTTCCTCTGGATAATCTTTAGATCCCAGCACCACCGATGGTGCGAGTTTTGAGTACTGGATCAACAAATGCAGATTTGGTCTGGCAGGAACCATACCCGTCATCCGGTTACATCGACAAATACAAATGCCAATATGCGGTAGCAGGAACAAAGCAGTATCAAGAGCGCCAGTTTCCGGCCTATAATCCTTGCGGCCAGGAGGTTGTACGAATGCGGCAGCTCCCGCCACCACCAGCTGGTTCGAAGCTCCATTGTGCTCGCATCGATGGCTTGCAACCCGAAAAAGAGTACACATTTATGGTTGGTTGTTTTTTCCAAGGAGAAAAGACGCATTTTGATGCACTTTAAATTGATTGTACTGCTTTTCAAAATTTCGT